GCTGCTGCTGCTGTTGCTGCTGTTGCTGTTGCTGCTGTTGTTGTTGCTGCTGCGGCTGCTGGCTTCGCCGTAGCTCCTGCTGCTCCTTTTGCTGCCGCTGCTGCTGGAAAAGCAGCTGCTGCTGTTGCTGTTGCTGCTGTTGCTGCTGCTGCTGCGGACTCGCGCGTGGCAGTTGTCGCTTCTATTGTTGTTGCTGCTGCTGCTGCTGCTGCAGGTAGCGTGGCTTCTGGTCTTGCTGCTGAGATCTTAAAAGCTGAAGTAGCAGCAGCAGCAGCTGCTGCTGCTGCATCAATAGCACTGATGGAGTTTGCTGCTTGCGGAGCTGAAGCACCTGCAAGCGGCATCACGACTTGCTGCTGCTGCTGCTGCTGCTGTAGCTGCTGCTGCTGCTGTTGCTGTTGCTGCTGCTCTCCCTTCCTTCTCTTCGAAGAATGGATATCACCCCAGGGGCTTGCTTCTGTTGCAGCTGTTGCTGCTACCGCTGTTGCTGTTGTTGTTGTTGCTGCTGCTGTTGTTGTTGCTGCTGTTGTTGTTGCTGCTGCTGCTAACTGAGCACCTGCGTTTTGCTGCAGCTCCTTCACGAGCGATGAGGACGGATTTGCTGCTGCGGTGCCATCATGTGCTTGCTGCTGCTTCTCAGCAGCAGCAGCAGCAGCAGCAACAAAAGCTTTGAGGGGCTGTGGGGTGTGGGGCCGCAGCACTGAGGCTACAGGTAGGCGAACAGCCACCAACTCTGGTTCATCATCTTCTGAGCAACTCGTTGCTGCTGCTGCTGCTGCTGCTGCTTCTGCTGCTTCTGCTGCAGCTGCTGTTGGTGCTGCGTCTGCTGCTGCTACTCCTGCTGCTGCTGCATCTTCCGCTGCTGTTGCTGTTCTTAGCTCGGCGGCGTGTGTTGTTGCTGTTGCCGCTGCTTGTGTCTCTGCAGCTAGCTTGCTGCTGCTGCTGCTGCTGCTGCTGCTTCCCTGGGGCCCCTCCATGCTGCAGCTAGGGGCCCCTGGGGGCCCCTAAAGAGCTGCCAGTTTGTGCTGCTGCACAGGGGCCCCAGCGGGGCCCCCCTTGTTACTCTGGGGGCCCCCAGGGGAGACAGAGAGAAGTCTATATTGCTAACTGCGCTTCTTCTTTGTTGTTTTAGGGCTTAGGGTTTAGGTTTAGAGGTGTTGCATGCATCACAGCAGCACTAAGGGGGCCCCCAGGGTACTGCTCCTGCTGCAGCAGATGGGGGCCCTCCTAGCAGCACATGAATATAAAGTAATGTTTGATTTAATTAGTTTAATTAATAAACATTAACACGAAAAGAAAAACAAATGCGGCCTACGTACCTTCACAAATTCAAATATATTTTACCCTGGGGCCCCCCAATCAGCTGGGGGCCCCTCCTGGGGGCCCCTCCTGGGGGCCCCTTCTGGGGGCCCCTCCTGGGGGCCCCTTTGGGGGCCCCCCGTGGGGGCCCCCCTACAGACACCTGGCGGCCCCCCTTGGGGGCCTACACTATCAACGCCTGGGGGCCCCCACTGGGGGGCCCCCCCAGGGGGCCCCTGACCCTAGAAGAGGTTTGCATTTGGTTTTTGTTTAATGTTTGAAGTTAAAAGATACACCGCCTCAGCTAACAAAAACAAGAACAGCACCATAGGGGGGACCCTCCTGTAGCAGCAACGCAAAGACCCTAAAGGGATGTCCCTGGGGGGCCCCCAAGGGGGGCTCCCAGGGGCCCCTGGGAAGCCCTTGGGGGCCCCCTGGGGGCCCCTGGGGGGCCCTTTGGGGGCCCCTGTGGGGCCCTTGGGGGCCCCTGGGAAGAAAGTAGTAAAAGTGAATGAACATATCATCGCTGCTAAGCCTCTATATGTTAAGGGTATAGTTGCGGTGTATAGGCAGGGGCCCCCCCAGCAGAGAAATTGAATTAAAGGTGACTGATTGGGGCCCCCATATTTTACCCTGGGGCCCCCCAACCAGCTGGGGGCCCCTTCTGGGGGCCCCCCCTGGGGGCCTCTTCTGGGGGCCCCCCATGGGGACCCCTTCTGGGGGCCCCTTCCTGGGGGCCCCCACTGGGGGGCCCCCCCAGGGGGCCCCTGACCCTAGAAGAGGTTTGCATTTGGTTTTTGTTTAATGTTTGAAGTTAAAAGATACACCGCCTCAGCTAACAAAAACAAGAACAGCACCATAGGGGGGACCCTCCTGTAGCAGCAACGCAAAGACCCTAAAGGGATGTCCCTGGGGGGCCCCCAAGGGGGGCTCCCAGGGGCCCCTGGGAAGCCCTTGGGGGCCCCCTGGGGGCCCCTGGGGGGCCCTTTGGGGGCCCCTGTGGGGCCCTTGGGGGCCCCTGGGAAGAAAGTAGTAAAAGTGAATGAACATATCATCGCTGCTAAGCCTCTATATGTTAAGGGTATAGTTGCGGTGTATAGGCAGGGGCCCCCCCAGCAGAGAAATTGAATTAAAGGTGACTGATTGGGGCCCCCAGAGAACCTACACTAAGCAAACTGCAGCAATAGCTGCAGCAACAGCTGCAGCAACAGCTGCTGCAACGGCTGCAGCAACAAAAGCAACGACAACGACAGCGGCGCAGCAGCAGAAACAACAAAGGAGCAGCAGCAGCAGCAGCATCAGCAACGACTGAGCCGCAGCAGCAGCAACTAAACAACAGCAGCAGCAGCACGCATGAGGGCCTTAGAAGAAACTGATGCACACACTGGTTAATTTGGGTGTACAGACACCTCAGCGCTGCGCTGCGGTGTACATAAACAAATGTTAGAAGTGCTGCTAGCAGAGCCTTGCTGCTGTTGCTGCAGCAGCAGCAGCAAGAGCAGCAAAGTGCTACAGCAACAACAGCAGCTGCTGCTGGTGCGGGTGCAGAACTGCTGCTGCAAGGGCAGCAGCAGCAGCTGCTGCTACTGCATCTGTTGTAGGTTCTCCTCCAGACTCCAGCAGCAGCTGCTGCAGCAGGATCAACATCAGTGCTTGTTCCCTCTCAGCTGCTGAAGCTGCTGCTGCCACCCTTTTTGCTGCTGTTGCAGTTGCTGTTGCTGCTGCCGCTGAATCCTAGAACGGCTTACTGCAGTACCGTCTTCAGAGGTTTCTGCTGCTGCTTAGCAGCAGCCGCTGCTGCTGCAGCAGCTGTTGCTGCTGCTGGGGTCATCCCCGGGGCCCCCCGGCGCTGTGAGGGGTATAATGAATTTTGCTGCAGCAAGAACAGCTCGGTTGGTTTGCTGCTGCAGGGCAGTCTTAAAGATAGAGCCCTGGGGGGCCCCCTCATAGGGGGCCCCCTGGGGGCCCCCTGCTGCTGCTGCTGCTGCGTAGAAGGAGCGGCTTAGGGTTTGATTGTACTCAGCGTTAAGCAAAGCGAAAAGAGAGGTGCTGCAGCAGCCTACGAGGGCCCCCAGAGAGAAGAATCTGAAAGCCATAGTAACAGCGGTAGCAGTGGGGGGCCCCCTGGGGCCCCCAGCAGCAAAATAAATTATAAAGAGGGTACAGGGGGGCCCCCCTGCTGCTGATAAATTATAAAGAGGGTACAGGGGGGCCCCCGGGCTGCTGCTGAGAGAGAAGAAGTAGAAAGTAACAAGAGTGTAAGAGCTGCTCGATAGATAAACAATTAAATAATTATTATAAATGCAGCTTAAGTGCTGCTGTAAAAAGAAGTCAGGGGCCCCTCAACACAGCAATAGATAAAGAAGAGAGGGGGCCCCCCTATGCAGCAACAGCAAGGAGGGTTTAATGACAGACAACTTCTAGGCGGCCCCTAAGCTAATTATATTATTTTAATTATATTCTTGTATTTATTTACTTCATAAAAAGAAAATAGAAACGATGTTTGAGCTGCTGCTGCTGCTGCGGCTGCTGCAGTTGCAGCAACGCACAACACTCGGGGGGCCCCCAGCAGCAGACACCCTGGGGGGGGCCCCCCCTATATAAATGCTGCAGCTATTTTAATTTATTTATATTTATTATTGCTTCTCTTAAACAATTAATACATATTAAAACAATATCCTAGCAGACGGCTTCGGACAAACTCACTAGGGGCCCCTGCAGTGGTGCTGCTGCAGCAGCAGCAGCAGCACTTGCAGCAGCAACAGCGACGACTGCAGCAGCAGCTGCAGCAGGTGGTCTTGCTGCTGTGATTGTGCTGCTGCTGCAGCCTCCAGCTGCTGCCACAGCGCCAAACGCCGTTTTCTAGGACGTGGGGCTGACTGCAGCAGCAGCAGCACTTCTATTGCTGCTGCTACTGCTGCTGCTGCTACTGCTGCTTCTATTGGTGTTGCTGCTGCTGCTACGGGTGTGCTGCTGCTGGAGGTTTAAGCTGCTGCAGCAGCATCAACGCCTCTTGAGGGTTTGGTGCTGCCTGCAGCAGCAGAGACCTGAGCATCCCTACAGTTTGCTGCTGCTGCTGCAGCTGCGCGGCCTCTGCTGCTGCTGCTGCTGCTGCCTCTCCCCAGTCTCGTCTTAAGGCCTCCCGCTGCACCTGAAGCAGCAGCGACAGCAACAGCAACAGCAACAGCAGCAGCAGCAGAAGGCTTACACAGGCAGCAAGATAAAATGCAGCTAAAAACAGAATAACAAAAGGAGACAGTAAAGGAGAGAGACACAAAAGGAGACAGATAAAATTAAATAAATAAACAAAGAGAGACAGATGAGATCACAAATAAACAAAGACAAACAAAATAAACAAAGAAAGACAGAAGAAAACAAATAGACAGAGACAGAAAAATAAACAGATAAATAAATAAATAAATTAAACAAACAGAGACAAATAAATTAAACAAAGAGAGACAAATAAATTAAACAAACAGAGACAAATAAATTAAACAAGAAGAGAGAGATAAGCAGAGACAAATAAAACAAAAATATCAACAAAAGGAGACAGCAAAGAGAGACAGATAAAAATAAATAAAATAAATAAACAAAATAAACAAATAAATAAATAAATAAAATAAAATAAATAAATAAAATAAAATAAATAAATAAATAAATAAATAAATAAATAAATAAATAAATAAATAAATAAGATTGAGGAGGAGACAGAAGATAAACAAAAATAAATAAACAAAAAGAAGAGACAAACAAACAAAGAGAGCGGACAAAGGAGACAGCCGAACGGAGACAAATAAATAAAAAGAGACAGACAAATAAATAAAAAGAGACAGACAAATAAATAAAGAACAAATAAATAATAAATGTCCAGACAAATAAATAAATATAAAAATATAAATATAAACAAACAAAGACAAACAAAAACAAAATAAAATAATATAAAGAGAAGGAGACAGAGAAAAAGAGAGACAAACGAAGAGACAGAGACAGACAGAGAGACAAAGAGAGACAGACAGATAGAGACAGACAGATAGAGACAGAAAGATAGAGACAGACAGACAGAGACAAACAGAGACACAGACGAAGAGAGACAGAGACGAAGAGAGACAGAGACGAAGAGAGACAGAGACAAACAGACAGAGACAAACAGACAGAGAGACAGAGAGAGAGAGAGAGAGAGAGAAACAGAGAGAGAGAGACAGAGAGAGAGAGAGACAGAGACAAAGAGAGACAGAGAGACAGAGAGAGACAGAGACAGAGAGAGACAGAGAAAGAGAGACAGAGACAGCAGCAGCAAATCTGTTTTGCTTTTACTTCATTGTGCTGCATTTCGTTTGCTATTCTTTTTGTCTCCTCCTCAATTACTCTAACAGCAGCACTGCAAGTAGGCCGCCCGTATATTACCCGCACTCTGCTGCTGCTGCTTCTGCTGCTGCTGCTGTTGCTGCTGCTGCTGGAGTTGCTGTTGCTGCTGGGATTGGTAGCTGTGCTGCTGCTGTCTTCTTGAAGGTGAGTGTTCTCTCCTTTATGCTGCTTCTCCTGCTGCTGCCGTTCCTGTTCCTGTTGCTGTTCCTGCTGCTGCTGCTGCTGCTGCTGCTGCAGCACGTCTGCGCAGTATTTGTTTGCTGCAGTGTCTGCCTGGAGTCTCTTTTTAGCTGAGAGGGGCCCCCTCCAGGAGAAGCCGACAGGCAGCGACCAGCGACAGAGCTGCAGCAGCAGCAAATCAGCGCAGCAAGAGAGGTCCTCTACCGCTTCAGCAAGACGCTGCAGCAAAGCATCTCGAATAGGGGGCTGCCGATACACCCTACCACCGATTATAGCATAAATACGCAGCTGCTGCTGCTGTATTAAGCCGTGTATATTCTGTTTCCTTTCTATTAAACCTATTACGAAGAGACTCTTCAATCGATAGTAATTGCAGCGTGCAGCAAGAAGTGCTGCTGCTGCTGCAGTTTGCTCTCCCTGCTGCTGCTGCTGCCCCTGCTGCTGCTGCTGCTGCTGCTCCTGGTCCGGAACAGCAGCAGCAGGGGCCCCCTCTTGTATGCTCTTCAGGTTGTCTATAACTACAGTAAAACATAACCCTGTCTCCTTTTCAATATCTATTGCTTCTCCTTGTCTTACTCTCTCGTTTAGCAGCAAGTGCTGCCGCAGCAGCGGGGGTGAGGGGCCCCCGTCCCCTGCTGCAGCAGCTGCAGCAGCAGCAGCTGCTGTTGTTGTTGCTTGTGGGGGCAGCGGCCCCGCGGGGCTACTACCGGTTGCAGCAGCAGCAGCAGCAGCAGCTGCAGCAGCAGCAGCAGCAGCACAATCTGCTCTAACCTCTGCATAGAAAGGTGTTAAAGAAAAATACTCAAGTGCAGCAGCAGCAGAATCCAGGGGCTGTCTGTAAAGAAAGCCCCAGTCTATGAAGCTTCTTAGGCTGTCTCTTCGCAGCTCTGTCTCCCGGTAGGGAGGCCAATCGTTATAAGACATCCTGCTGCTGCTGCTGCTGCTGCTGCTGTTGCTGCTGTTGCTGCTGCTGCGG